ACATTTAATGAAACAAAAAATAAGATTTCATGCATGAGAGCATCAGCGTACCTAGGTTCTCCCTCATCCATAGCTCTCATGTGCAAAGGGGAAGAGGGAGCCTATTTTAAGATTCTTGATATTTGTGGTACTCCTTGACAGTTTTGCTTAAAATAAAATAAATTTTAAAATATATCAGCCCAAGTTTAAATCTAACCTGTAAGTGAATGAATCTGGCATTCATCCAGCAGAATTTACTGTTAATGTCAGTCTGAATGAAGTGTAGCACTTCAGCCCAAATTCCTCAGCATGTCACACATCACTGCCACACCTTCACAGGGTAAACATTTAGTAGGTTCACTTTCTACGTTCTATAGAGGACTTCAGACTGTTTGAATAATGCAGACTTCACCATAAGACAAAGCAGAAAAAGCCAACCTTTAGACTACAGACATAAAGCACCCTCCTATAACAAGCATCAATTTTGACTTGATGCAACAAACTAAGAATCAATTTAAAATTCGGATGTGCCTATGAGTGCTTGATAAAGCACGAAATGATATTCAAGATCTTCTAGAAACTTTAAATTTACAAACATGTAATCCTTAAGATATTTAGGGGTCAAAAATACTTTAAAGATACCCTTATATGAAGTTACAGTGCTTACTGTTATGGGAGATATCCCATACATCATTTGCATCCTAACCCACAGCATTTTTAATGCCCTGTTAACTAGCACCCTCCTATTTTAAATCAGTCTTTATGGAGTGCTTTGGCACAGGATTTTACAAGGCTGCTAGCCAGCAATAGCAGTACACAAAAACTAAAACTGACTTCAGAAAATATTAGAACCCATGAGTAAAGCAATGTATGCCAGATCATCAAAGGAAATCATTTTGATGACAAGGAAAGGTAAAGAGCACAAAAAAACCCCAAAACCTGTAAAAAGACATCTGCACTGTAGTGAGAACCAAAGCATTGAAGTGAAAGAACATGGACAACGAACCAGGAAGTATCTCATTCTAGCAACAAAAAAAATCACTGCTGTACTTTTGCTATCTTCATACTTTGAATTACTATAATGAAGTGCAGTTAGAGAAGACAGCTTTCAGTGCATAATTAAGCAATTAGAAAAAGTCTTTAGCTATTAATATCCTAATTGAACATCTGAGGACTTTTCTTATACATCCCTCATAGTCATGACCAGGCAATACCAAAGGTATGGCTTTCAGTTACAGAGAGATAAAGTTTTGGCCTGTTAGTTTACACTTAATTTTTATTTTCATCTTGTTACTCCTATATATACTGCTGAAAAGCAAATCCTTCCTGTGTTAAAGAGCAAGAAACACATACAGGGAAGATCTCACTGGATTGAAACATCCATTTAGCCTGGGAGACACTTCTAGGCATGGTCTGAGGCAGACATTTAGGTGAGAACCCAAAAAGGCAAGCAAATAAATGTAACTTTGCTACAGTAACCTCCAACCTGCCAGCAACCAGCAGGTTGAGGAGTTCCTGCACAAGAAAAAAATAACTTAAGTGTTTAATGGTGCAAGAGAATTTTTCTTCAAGAACTGGCCCATTTATTTTCCTTTAGAGAAATTACTTCCATCACATAGTTCTGAAGTTTTCGTAAAATTCTGGCTGGTTAATTTGGAGTTAATTACCCAGGGAAGAGACATTTTTTAAATTATCGAATATGAAGTATCAATCGCCCTAGCTTCTAAAGAGATATGACTTTGAATCTCAAGAGCAGTCCTGATTTAAGAACACACATTAGAAACACCTGGAAGCCAGCACAAGCATGAAGCTGCAGGAGTCAGTCTTCTCCAAGAACCACAGTGAGCCATCTGCAAGTGAGGGATTTACATTCCACTAACTGAAAGTTACTGAACTTCTGTCATTTAATCACACAGAAGAGCAAATGTCAAAGCATATTCAGACTGTGGAACTCTGTTAGCATTGATACTGAACACACATTGCCAATTAGAATAGTTACTGGTTACTGCTTTTTGTACTGTGGAGTAAAATCAGATTAAGCCTAGAGGGGGCAAGCCCAGTATCTCTTCCACTTCTACAAGTAAGGCATCTCTCTACCCTGGCTATTGTTTGTTATCCTAGTCTAAAGTGAGTGCTCCTTTCCTTTGCTGCAGCACCTGTGAAACACAAACCAGCAGAATCTCTGATTAACAACAAGCCTAATGAACATGAATGGCACAGCACCTAACAGCAGCTCAGCATTTTTTGCTGCAAGGGACTGATAATTTATTTTGCATGTTACATCAGCTGAATACAGAATTAAAAATGAAGGATTTGCAGATATTCAGCCAGACTGGAGGGGAAAGAACTCTGCCCCTCAAAACATGCTGGCATTTAACTTAAGAGAGAACTTGAGAATACTATGAAGTTGTAGTTGCCAGCTCTACAATCCACGAAATGGAGCCTCACAGTTTCAACAGACAAATGCACATGAAGAAAGACTCGGCTTCCTATTGAAAAGGGCCATCTAAAACCTCCACAGGAAAATTGCAGACTAAATCTCTGCCCTGCCCAAACCTCCAAACTGAGACTCATTACCAGGTGAGAGCTGACAGGAACCAGTTAAAGCTATGCTTATGATATTCTTCCTCAGTTATACTGGAGCTTTATGAAACTAAACTACAGCAGACATTCCTTGAGCATTTGGTGACATCCACATTAAAGGAGTAAATTAAAGATTTAGAATAATGTAGTTCTAACCATTATCAGGATAGAAAAATCTGGGGGAAGACAGCTGTAGAGTTAAAAATTCTTCCTTTATTTCAGCTTTCAGAGCAGCCTGTACTCAAGCAGCAGTTCAGGCTCAATAAGCTTTAGGAGCCATAAGGCTACCGACTTATTTTTAACAAGTCAGCCTGTTTAAAAAAGGAGGCAAGTAGAACATCACCTCTGAGACACTATAAAAGCACCAATTCATACAGGAGTAACCAAGCCCTTTTGGTATTGTGAGCACAGCAGTTTAAACATGACCCTCACTGCTCTAACCAAGCTGCAGAAACCAGGTGGACTGAGGTTCTCTCTGCCATGCCAAGTATTTTCCCATGGAAGGAACAATACTTTGTTATCCTGCCTCTCTCTTCTTCAGTTAGGCCAGAAATTCTGCACCGCAAGATCTAGCTAAAACATGATTTTCTGATGTTTAAAGCAGAATAAAGCCCTCCATTAACACATTGCTTTCCAAGAGAAGGCCACTCCACCAGGCCCAAGCATTTGGCTCCTGGACCACCCCAGCACCTCTCTCGAGCAGCACAAGGTGAGTGCTGTGCATGCAGAAGAAATAAGGGTGTAGCTCGCTGCTGAAACTGAAACTTCAGGGTCTGACAAGTGTTCTGTGTGTTACCTGTTTTTGTACAAATTACTTTCATCATGTTGTGAAGCCTAGTGAAACGCTTACAGACATTTCACAGGAAAACAGCATCAACGAAGTAACACCACAGGTGGCAAACTAAACACCTTGCCATTTTGAGACACTGATACCACACAGGTCTTGTCATGAATCTCATCGGTGGCTCACCAGGAATGATTAAGCTACATCAGTTCAAGTGTCAACAACACCCTAACCTTAAGCATTAGCTCCTTTAGCAGGCATTGGAAGACAGCACTAGTCCTATACTTCATTATTTTTACTGTGAACATTTACCTCTTACCCTGTGTCTATTTTAGTATGCTTCTAAACTGACTGCCTTTGCCAATGTTTATTTCAGAAAAGACTGAAAGTCATCACCTTCAATTTTCTTATTTGGCTATGTAACAACAGCCAGTAATTCTGAAATTAGCTGCTTCTGACAAAGCATTTTCTTCACAGACCTTCTGACAATATTTTAATTTCTTCCCTTATCAGTCAGAAGCACAGTATGTGACAACATTTCAGATGTGCTGAAATGCCCCTCAGGCCAGAAACTGGGACTTCAGTTCCATAGCCAGCAATTATCAGTGACTTTTCTTGAACTGAATTGCTGTAATCAGGTACACAAAAAGCTATGAAGGTTATTTGGGAGACCAAAATAAGCACTTGGATGAGTATCACTTCATCTCAGAGAAAGAGAGATTATTTTTCTATACACTACAATTGAGACTGAAAAATGTATTTATAATGAAATTAAATATTAAATAACAGAACCACAGGAAAACCATCAAACTACAGATTTGGAAACTAGAAAAACATGTCAGTGAACTAAAGAGAGCTGTAACAGTAAGAAGCAAGGATTAGAAATAAAAAGGCAAGTGGAAGCAGGGAAGAAAGAGGGAGAAAAAGTAATCAGGGCAAGCCAAACAGGAAAGCAAAGCATTAAAGAGAGAAGGGTCAGGAATTGCACGAGGGAACGAAGAGGATAAAGGAATTATTAGCTAAAAATACCCAAAAGAAAGGTATCAGCAGATGCTATTATTTTGGTACATTTAATACAACATCTGAAAAACAGAAAGAGCATTTCTGGAAATGCTGTATTTTTCAAGAAAGAAAAAAAAATAAACATAGGAAGGGAAGAATCAAGAAACTAAATTTACAGCAAGCAGCTGCCAAAGCCCTGCAGTTTCTCTTGGCAGAACAGCACTTCCACTGATAAACTAATGCCATGGGATCATTGTCTTATGATGACAACTTTTAGAAAGGAGGAAGAGAAAAGGAAAAAAAAACCTACAAGTTTCAGACTCTCAAGCTCCCTTTTCCATGTACATGAGCAAAAACATTCAGCCTGTGACAACTCTCTCCTTAGTTTACGTTTCAAATACAGTGTACTAGAGAAATGCGTTAGCCTAAAGTACCAGAAGTAAACCAGTTACATTAGCCAAGACCCCTACATGGCTCATCCTACCCCTCTGGAAAGGACTAAGGTGACAATGCTAGGGTAGCTCCTCCCAAAGTGATGCATCCAGCCCTGAACTGTGCTGTCCTGTCTTTTGCAGCCATGCACCAAAGTGCTTCCAGCACACAGGATTGTCCTGCCAGGGCCACTGCAGCTCGGCCATGCACCAGCAGCCCTTGGTATAGCCAGCACAGCAGCTGCCCTTCAGTGCAGGTTGGTTAAACACCATTCAAAGCAAAACCCAGCCTACATCCATCTTTCCACAGTCACAACTGACCAGGCCACCACATGCGTGAGGATTTTTTAGGAGAGCAGCATTCCCGTGTGAGCTCTGAACAACATGCTGGTATTTTCACTCCAGAGCACAGCCATTTAGAGTGGGAAGGACAGATGGATAGATGCAACACCGGTTTATTGACCTATGTGCATTTCAGCTGTAGTTGATAATGGCCAATGCCTCATATTGTTTACTGAAAAATGCACCAAAAGTGGCAAGGATGATGGATTCTAACGTATTCCAAAAACTCTCTGTACTTCTGGCTTCTGAATATCAATTTATCAAGTTAAAAGAACCAAGAATTTTGTTTCCAAGGCTGCTGGGGGAGAAAAAAAAACCCAAACCAATCGAAGTTTATTACTTTCCCCTTTGGTGAACAGTTCAATATCCCATTAAACCTTTGCAGTGATGCTTATCACTACATACATACTGAGCTAAGTCCAAAGATGTAAGTAACCTGCTCAGCATTCATGGCAACAGGCCTTCCACTGACAAAGGCTGAACTTTACGTGTTTTAATAAAAGGCACAAATGCAGCTAACAAGACAAGTTGAATAACATTCCTTTACTCTCACTCCATTACACATATTCCTCTATTGTATTTCACAACGGGCTCCAACTAACTGCCATGAAAGCTTCGCCTACTTCATCCTGCCCACATGTTTTTGCCTTCTCCTTTTCATTGGAGCCAAAGGAAAATCAAAAATTACCACCTGCTACTCCACGTGAACAATATAAAAGTGAAGGCAGAAATGAATGACTGGCAGAGTGGAAAGAGTGAGACTGTATAAACATTCTTCTTTCTAGGCTGCTTTCCCCCTCCTTACACACACGCCAACTCCATTACGAGCATAAGTTTTCCCAGGAAACACCACTAAAAAGCAAATATGAAATACTCTTATTTTCTAGCTGGCTATTTTACTGCTGTTAAAGGTGGGGGAGGAATAAGAAACAGCAGATAGGGAAATAAATGATGTACATCAGGGCAGTAGCATTTCCCTTTCCCAGTCTACAGCTGTGTGGCATGTCTGATTCAAGATCCATTGCATACTGCCAAGCAAAGGGCACACTCAGTAAATACAGATACAAACAGACTGGTATTTACCTGTGTCAGAAGTTTATCAGAACAATTGAAGAACCACATTCCAATGGAGATAAGCAGGCAGGCAGAAATGACAGCAGAAAAGAGAAAAAAAAAAATCAGTTATTGAGTTATCATATTAAGAGACACACAACAGCAAGTACAATTAACATTAAACCTGTTATTTCAGGGTCACTCAGGAAGTGACTGAATCACAACAGCAAGTACAATTAACATTAAACCTGTTATTTCAGGGTCACTCAAGAAGTGACTGAATCACTTGTGCTAGGAAGAGAAAGGTATTGACACAAATATAACATTATCCAATTATTTTATTCAAAAGTATTATTAGAGTCATGGATTTCTCACGCGTGACTGTGTGAGAACCAAAGACACCTTACAAGGGAAGTGCACAGTTAAAGAAAGGTCTACTCGCAAGCTTAGTAAAAGTAATTCACATATTGGATATCAAGTGGTGTTTCTAAAGCTCACTTCAGCCTAGACAAAGTTAGATGTCTAGAGGATAGACATCCTCCCAGGGTCATGGCCTTTTCTCCACTAATCACAGAAACAGCAGAATGAATATCCTGAAATAAAGTTAGCATTTATAAATATCCTTCCCTTCTATAAAGCAGACTTTTCAGTGGCCAGCATAAGCCAAAAGGAAAGCTCATAAATAAAACAAAGCACAAGCACACAAAATCCCCCAAATCATAAAAGAATTCTGGTAGCTAAAATCTACTGTGCACAGCAACTACTGGTACTGTGACTTTACAAGGCTACTCAAACTGAGATCCTTACTGGAAAGGATTTTAGTAGCATCTTTTGTGTTCCTGTGCTTTGTGCTGGCTTCTGAGCCCACCCATTTCTCCATTCCCACCTCTCCTGTATTATTTTCTCTATTCTTTCAGGTACATCTCCCCTTTGGTTTACCAACTGGCACTTAGTAAACCTTCCAGGTGTTTTCCTTTCCCCTATTCCCAGAAGACACAGTTGGTAATGAAGCTCCAAGCATGAGGGAAGCATAAAAAGATGGGTAGAAGGTGAAGGCAATGGATACCAAGCATACATAATTAATCTGAGCTGCAGATGTCTCGGTAGAGGATGCAGAGTCTTGCAGCACATACTACTGTAAGGAAAGCTGAGATCTATGGCACACTCTAAAAGGTCAATCTGGCACCTTTAAGAAAGCCAGAGATAACAAGACTTTAAAAAAAACCCCAAAACCATCATTATATATTATCCTAAGCTGCACAGACTAACCTTAAAATAATTTTAGGTTCAGGTATTTTCACATTTATTTCAACAACTCAAAAAGACTGCTCAATATCTAGTAACTTCCATTGAAGATGAAAAAAAAGGTTTTTTTAAAGATTTGAACCTTTGTTCAATTACACAGCAATAGGTACCTTAAGAAACTGGAACATTATCATCTCATTGCTGTTTTAGCATTTATCCCAATTATTTTCTTGCCATCCTGAATTAAGAGAAAATTAGACAGTTTTCAGTCTCAAATTGCCACTTGTGCATAAAAGAAAGTTTTTACTAGAATTAAAAGGTATTCCAGATTTTGTTTTTAAAGCAAGTGGTTACACAGGTTGATTTGAAACTCCTTTCACCAGTTAGGTGGCTATATTTTTCTTCAAAGTCCCTGTTGTATAATAATGCAACTGCCTAAAAAACACTAATTTCCATACAAGCATAAAAGATAAACAATCCATTTCTGCAGCAAACATTCCTCTGTTTTATTTTACTTTTGCACCAACTTAGAGCAAGATGAAGCTGCCACTAATATCAGTGCTTCAAGTAGATATCTAAAATACAAATGCAGCTTTTTAAAAAACCAAAACAAAAAAAAAAACCACAAACCAAACAAAATCTCCCAAAACAACGAGAAGCCATCCTGTGACCATGTACATAATGTAATGCTTGGAAAAAAGCAAAGAAGTCACATAGATTCTTAAACTTCCCATATAGCACACTGTGCCCAAAAAGAGGAATTACAAGTGCATAATGCTTGCTTGCATAACCAGAAATTCCTCACTCTCAGTGCAGAAAAGCTCAATGTTATCACCACCAACCTTGCCCCCAGAGGGCTCTTTATATGTGGAATTATCTTTAACAGTCTTGCTAAGACAGAAAAGCCCCCCTTGTTTATTACTGGAAACTCAAACAAGAAAGATATAAATTGCAAATACAGGTCTAGACCACTCACTATTTTTCTCACAAGCCTCATCCAATTTGGGAGTAGTCCAACCACTGCAGTAATTAAGGATGCCTTGAGAATAGCATACCTGAGCAAAATTTATTCTAATACACCACACTGCTGACACTGCAGACTCAGCTGAACACCACTCTGCCCTGGCAGCTTTAAATTTTTTTCTGCCTTTCCTTCCCTCGATGCTTCCCTCCTTTAGGGCTCCGTGGACTCCATGGGCTTGGAGAGGCAGCCACTTCTCTGGTCAGACACACAGCTATCTTGCAGAGGTCAGGCAAGTCCCTACTGACAACTTTGCCCCAGAAGTCTAGCTCTAAACATGTAAGTTAAAAGCTGAATCGAGGTGAAATTTGAATAGGAAATACCAGATCAGGACTCTGCAGAATCAGTCTGGAAGAAAGTGGAATAGTCACCATGATATATAAGTGCAAAAAGCAACCTTAATGCTATTAACTACTTCCATCAACCCCATCTGCCCAAGAAACCCATATACAAGGTCAGTGGAAAGCTCTTCCTAACTTACTGAGTGTATTTCACACCTGTCATGTACAAACAGAATCTGCATTCTTGTGGGGCATCCCTGTCCCTTGCCCTGACCCCTCCCCACTAATCTTAACTATCCTTAGTTTGGCCAGTTTTGGATTCACCGACTCGGAGACACGAGTCGTTTCCCCTGCGTACATTAACCGGGCACAGCTCGGAGCGGCAGAGCCCGCTCCCCGCACCGCCGGGATGGGTGATTTCAGGAATTAACTGGGCACAGCTCGGAGCAGCAGAGCCCGCTCCCCGCACCGCCGGGATGGGTGATTTCAGGAATTAACTGGGCACAGCTCGGAGCAGCAGAGCCCGCTCCCCGCACCGCCGGGATGGGTGATTTCAGGAATTAACTGGGCACAGCTCGGAGCAGCAGAGCCCGCTCCCCGCACCGCCGGGATGGGTGATTTCAGGAATTAACTGGGCACAGCTCGGAGCAGCAGAGCCCGCTCCCCGCACCGCCGGGATGGGTGATTTCAGGACACCGCACCCGCCCCGGCCGGGATGCAGAGGAGGCGGCGGTAGCTCAGCACCGCCACCTGCCGGCCGCGCCCGCGCCGCTGCTGCGAGCGGCACACGCCGCCGCACCCGCGCTGCTGCCGCCTCGCTCCGCCGTGCCCTGCGGGGCGGCCGTCCCGCCCATCCCGCACAGGGCTGGGGCTGGGGAGGGAAACATCCCATCCCTCCCGGAGCCGCCGAGCCGCGGGCAGAGCCCGCACGGCCGCCGGGAAGGCGGCACCGCCCCGCCGCGGCCGCCAGGGAGCGCTGCGGGCCCGGGCGCCGCCGCCGCCGCAGGGCCCCGGCCCAGGGACCCTCCCCGTGCGGGCCCCGAGGAGCGCTCGGCACCACCGCACACCTGCTGCAGATAAATAACTACACACATTAACCGTGAGACACGCACAGTGAACGGCACGCAGCGGTCCAGGCTCCCCCCCCTTCCTCCCCAAAGAAAACGGCTTTATCTCCCTGAAAACAGCCTGAGAACGAAGGCACAACGATGCGGCTATCTGGCCTTCACCCACAGAGATAACGGCTAAGCGCGCTGGCACAGGAATATCTCGGGTTTACACAGAGACTGGGTATATAAATAAGAGCATCAGAACAGATAAAACCCGACTGACAGTGAAAGGCGGTTTTGTGGAGGCCGGCGGAGCACAGTCGGAAATGGGAAGCCACGGCTTGCTGGGCACATGTGTCCCCAGCTACCGTGCATCACCCTAGGCCCGGGCCACAAGCCTCCCGCTGGTTTATACATCCCTACCTAGCAGCCTTCTCTCACTACAGTCACAGACATAAATAGAGTGCCAAGGGAAAGCTCACAGGGATGGAATCCTATCAAAATTCTGAGAAAGGGAACCTTTATCCCGGGACATGTTCCCACCAGCAACTCATTTCACTGACTGCCCTGAGAAAAGGGGTGCCTCCAGGACACTGTACCAACCCCACTACCACTAACAGCCCCTTCCCCAGGGCATCCACCAGTCACTCCCTGCACTTTCAGGCCTAAAAAGACCTCGGGGACAAAACCTCTGTTGGTTTTTCCCTCTAACCAAACATTTAAAGCTGTGTGCATGCAGGAGAAGCCCAGAAAAGCCTCCCTGGTGCTGCACATACAGGAAAGCAGCACAGCTTTGATTGCTGGAGCCTGCTAGTGAATGAAGGCAGAAAGAGACAGTGATCTGAATCAGACTGAGCACACCATGTTTGTCTTGGGAGAGTAACCTGCAGAACACCACAGCAGACAGGCTGCAGTACACCACGCTTGCCAATTCAAGTCGAGCTAAAGCAGTGTGCTCCCCTCTCCTCAGTCCTCTCATCAGCAAAAAAACCACAGGCAAGGATAGCAAGATACTGGTGTCACACCAGAAAATCCACACTTTGTGAAAAAGGGGAAAAAAGATAATTTCAATTTACGGAGGCAAAATGTATAAGAGACCTATTTTTTTTGTTTTCCTTTCCAAACACTGAATTATCAATATATTTAGGAAACCTTCTCTTTTCCTCCACTGTAAAGCCACTGTAATTTCTCAGACTGGAGCAATCCTTATATCAATTGGATTAGCAGATTCTCTCCTATGTTTTCCTGAAAACTCCCCTAAATTTAGTCCTTTCTATTGCTAGGAGGTCATTAGCCAGTCCACAACAAATGCACAGCCACAGCATTGCAGCTTTATTGAGAAAGGACTCTTATTCTTTGGGCCAGCCTCACAGCATATGGCAGGAAATAAAAACGACCTGAAGAGTTGTTTTAGCAGAAGCTGCCAAAGGGTCATCACACTCTCACCTCCAACCCAGTCCAACTTTGGTAGCTGCCATTACCTGTGAGCAAATACTAAATCAGTGAGATGCCGTGCACTCAAATCCTGCCACTGTTCCCAGCGATAGCACAAGAAACAAGCCCTTGCTGAACCTAGCTTAAGAAAATACAAGTGTGGGTACGTACACAGCACACACAACTGAGGTTTTATGTCAGAACACAGAGATTTTAGAGTCTTAATTTTCAAGACTTTTTACTGCTAGAATATACTTTTAAAAACCGTTTTTTATGGGGTTTCTTTTAGTGTTTCTTTATGAAAAATGTGAAGCTTAAAGACAGTGTACTCCCCTGTGCAACCATTTTTCATTGTTGGTGAACATGCAGCTTAGTATTTTTCCTTTTTATGAACACATAAACACTTGAAGGTATTGCTGTTTGGATTTTTCCTTCCTTGTTTTTTTTTCCTGTTTGTTTGTTTTAACAAAGCATAAGCCAACATGGCACAGACTTGTTCTTCAACTGCCAAAAGCATCACTAGTATAAAAGTGATGTCAGCACTGTTTTGTTAGTAACACTGGCCTTCTCTCTAACAGGCAGAACATACACATTGCCAGGTCAAGCATTAATGGAAACTATTGTTAATTTTCTTAGCCCGGCAGCGTGAAAGCTTGTAAGACAAAACAACACCATCAAAAAAGATCTGGATTCACCTCAAACAATCACTCCAACTCGCATGAAGAGCCGTACATTCAGAAACTCAAATGACTGAAGAAATGGCAAAGGCAATCACAAAAGAAAGGGATAAATCCTTGATTTTTTATTTTTTTTTGCCCTCCTTCACTGACTTACCTATACCTGCACTGGAACATAGTATTCCACAGAAAAATATATGCCTGCAAGATTGTGAACTCAATGAAAAACAAGCACTTTATGCAACCTACTCTTCCAAATTTAGTATTGAATCAACTGTCATAACAGGATTTGATACAAGAATCTGAATCTTTTGTTACTGCGCCAACCTGGAATTTTGTCAACTATGGTAGTTTCAATACAGCACGTAGACTCCACAAGTTATCTGATCAAACCCAAATGTATAGTTTTAAATTATCAAAGTAATGTTTTATTCAATGATTTCACTGAATCATCTTAGCTTTCCTGAAGTAGTTGAGTTCTTTCTACTCTCTACTTCACAAAAAAGTAAAGCAGGCAGTAGTGAGTTTTCTCCATGAGAAACATCTCTGAAAATGGACCTTTGCCAGGATGCACAAGAATACTGACGGGCAATTCTTAATTGACCAAATGTCTCTTGCTATAGGCTTTACAAGTTAGGAAATTGAAAGTTTCTGCCTTCAACACATGGGAAATACTAACATGGAAAGTCCAATAAAAAGAAAAAAGGAATGAAAAAAAGTAGGTAAAATGTAAGACTTCAAAACCACTTAGTTAAGTATAATACAGGTGTTGCCAACCACAAAGTTACAGAAAAAAATTAGACTAGAGGGGTCCTTTGGCTTCCATCTAGTCCAACCTCCTGCTCAAATGAAGGTGAGTTCAAAATTACATCTGTCTGCCTTCTGAAGCAATGGTGCAGGAATAGACAGAGACCAAAGCTCATGAGCACTACTACCCTGACAGACCACCACAAGTTGGAAGGTGCCATCCAAAAGACTCAGCTTTAGGAATGGTGAAGAACAAAATGAACAAAAATGGTGCAAACTTCATATGGACCTTGCAATCCAGACCAGCAAAAGCCACACATTTGTGATCCCCTACCCTCAACTAAAACAGCACAAGTTATTTTCTGGAACAGCAGAAAGGGAAAGAATAGATTATCCAAATAACCAGCAACCAATTCCCCAAATATTACAGCTCTAGGATATGAGAACCAGGAAAAACTGCATGGCTCATCAAAAGTATAGTAGGCAATTTGTCAGAGCATACCTTATATTAAGTTGTGTTTGAAAAATTACTTCAGCTATTTGTTTCTGCACTCTTGGATGGAGAGTAAACCAGAATCTCAGCTCTCCACAAGCACTAGCCTTTACTATGTCATATTCATTTTCCTGTGACAGTTTAAGGCAAGACTTCATGCTAACCTGAAAAATAAAAAGTATAACTCTCCTCCCTCAAGGACATTTTTAAGGAGGAAGATCTCATGCCCTCAGACTTCTACTGGCAAGGGTGACCAAGGCAACAGCCAAAGACAGCACAAAACTCGGCACACAAAACCTTTTCATAAACACCCAAATTGCATTTGAACTAGGGCAGGAGCTCTATCGAAGGGAGACATGGCAGTGAAACACCACCAAATACATCAGTCACACAGAAGGCAACAGGTTTTGTAGTATTGTCCCAGATGAAAGGCTCTCCTGCCTTGCAAATGTAGACAGGACTAAGTCCTAGCCCTGAAGCACCTTGAAACCTCAAGAATTCACAGTAACTGTATCAGCGGATTGTGCTAATTAAATCCAATTACATATTTAAAAACAACGGTCACAAACAATTTTGTTGTAATTAGGTATGATATCACGATCCATGGTGCAGACAGCATTGAAAGAAGGCATATCCAAACTGACAAGAGAGATGCTATCTAAAAAAAACTCCAGACTGATCCAAAACATTCATGCCAAGTAGAATTAATTTTCAAAATGCCACATCTGTAATACATACATATACATAATATCACAAAAAAACCCTTAAAACACAGGCAAGAATTAGATACTTTGGTCTTAAGTTAAAAACACGCCTATGAATCTGCACAAGCTTTATATGCTTTGGTGCTGGTCTGTAATACTCGAATGACCACTTTCACAAAGCTCAGCACCTGTGTAGCTTTGGACTGCTTTCTAATTTATCACTCTGAACCACTATTTCAGTCCAAGTGTTTTGATGAATGCTGCCAGAATTAAACCACTCCTAGTAGTTTGTTAAAGATATATATATTTAATTAGTAACTCAATGGGTATAGCTCCGTACAGTCACAAGTCAAAAGCAAAATACAGCAGAAGAGAAACATTAGAAATGTAGAAATCAATATTACTATTACTACAAGAGAAAAAAAAAAGCAAGTGAAGACTGATGTATCTTAGCCTTACATCATCCCATTTAACATTATTCTCAAAATGTCTGTGTTACGTAAGTACAATATTAAGTGTTTTTGAAGTCTATTAAGACCAGTTATTTTTTTTCTGTACTCACTGCCAATACTAAACAC